ATAAAAACCTTAAATTAAAAAAAAAAAAAATTTCGAGATCTATGCACATGCATAGTAGAACCCTCCGAGGGCGGGCCTGGGGTGTTCACTGGCTCAGGCACCCCTATAGTTACCAGAATGGAGGTACACAGACAGCAAGGGACCAATGAAAAGATACAAAAAAAAACAAAAAAAAAACAGAAAGAAAGAATGTCCACACCTCTTTCTCTGTGGCTCTGTCAGGTGTCCGTGGCTGCTCTGATCCTTTCTCCACTTGGCCCCACACAAAATGGCGGCTCCTGGAACAGCTGAGTGTCCCGTACCAGGAAGCAATGGATTTCTTGCTTCTGCCACAAACTCCCCAGTTGTAAGCCTTCCAACCCTCCAAATATTCCCCATATGTGGTTCAGAGTTCTGGGACCATCCCCTGAGCCCTCTTCGTCCTGTATTCTGTGTTGTTCCTGGCAGTGCTTGTCACTGCACTTCCACCTGATCCACCATCCTGTTTTCGCCGTGAGTAAGACTTTAATGTCCTCTTTCAACTTCTTGCCCTCAAAGCTGCCTGATAAATTTCACGATGCCACTGTTGGTTGTTATGGTGTACCCCCAGGATTTAATTTTCGGCCTGTTGTTTTTAAACTCTCTTTCCCTCTCCACAGCCCTTTGCGCTATTAAAATACAGTTCAGGGCCGGCTCTTGGGCTGAGAGTATCTGTGTGTATGTGTGGCAGAAGAATCCACCAGTGGTGGGGGTGGGAGGTGTCCACTTGCTCAGGCTCCCCCTCTAGTCACCAGAATGGAGGCATGCAAACAGTGGGGGAGCCAATGAACAGATACCAAAAAGAAAAAAAAAAAATCAGAACAAAGCAAAGTATTGTCTACCTCTGCTCTGAGGTTCCCATGGGGTTATTCCATGGTGGGTCTGTTCCCCCGGGTCTTGCCGTTTGGTCTCGCCCAAGTTGTGGGACCATTGAGCCCGGCAGATTAAAAAATACACAATTTCTTACTTCTGCTACAAGTTTCACTAGCTATAAGCTTTAAAACTTGAAAAATATTCCTAAATATGTGGTTCAGAGTTTTGGAGCTCTGCCCTGAACCCTTTTCACCTGGTGTTCTGTGGTATTGCTGACGGCTAACTTCCCTGCACTTCTATCCTATCTGCCATCAAGCCCCGCCTCTCTATATAGTTTTTAAAAGGTTTTAAAAAATGAAAGAAAGAAAACATAATGCTAAAATTAAATCTTTCAGTGGTACAGTAAGGGGTGAAAATGAGCATATATTAATTTTGTAATCGTTGTTGTTAAGTGCTGTCGAGTCAGTTCCGACACATAACTACCCTGCACTGGGTTTCTGAGGCTGTAAATCTTTACGGGAACAGAAAGCCTCATCTTTCTCCCACGGAGCAGCTAGTAGTTTCAAACTGATCTTGTGGTTCACAGCCCGAATGTAACCACTACGCTACACAGCTGTAGGGACTGTAAAATGGTGACTGTAAAGCTGGTGGTTCATGCTCATCAGCCGCACCCCGGAAACCCTATATACAGGGTCGGTATGGGTTGGAACCAACTTGGTGGCACTTAACAACAACAATTTTATAACAAAGAGGGAGAAATGATTAAGAGGACAATTTTTTTTCAGTATTAAAGACAGAAATGTTACATTTTGTAAAATGTTATGACTTACTCTTCCGCTTTCCAATATCCATTTCAGAGGTAGCAGCTTCACATAAAAGCACCATCCCTAAGGTAACTCCACCATCTCAGAAAAATTGTTTAAGGAAAAATTCATATAGGCACAAAAGACATCATTTTAATATTGCTATTCTTGCATGGAAAAAGTTAAAATGAATATATAAAACTTCAACTCTTAATTATAAAGTAACTAAATAATCTTGTGTCCATACAGCATAACAATTATTTATGATGAAGATATAATAAAAATATTAAGGATGAAAAGTTATTGTACAATTAAAAATAGAATATTTAAAAAACCATGTCCCATTATAACTTATAGAAAAAATAGGAGTTTTTCTGGAACTGGACTTTGGAATAATCTGCCTTGACATTCTTTCAATGATTACTCTAATCCCATATATATTTTTAAAGATTCCACAGCCATTTTGAAAAATATTTCAACACTCCTACCTGAAATATGCACCTTTAGAGATAAACAACACATTTCTATTAAAATATTCTTGTGAAATATTACACCAAATACAAATACACAGTTAAACAAATTACAAAGCCAAAAATTCCCAGAATTTTCATACTTAATCATTAAAGCACAAAAATAATACTTTGTTATTGTTAAGTGCTGTCCAGTTGGTTCTGACTCATGGTGACCCTGTGTAGAGTTTCTGAGGAGTGACTGGTGAACTTTAACCACAGACCGTTCGGTCCAGCACATTGACCCATAGCCCCACAGCTAATTTTGTCTTATTTTAATAACGAAAATAAAGTCCCAAGTCATAACCTCACTTTTATTCAGCTTAATACAGTTACAGTAGCTGTCAATTTCATTCCAACTGAATTTGACCTCATGTGTGTTAGAGTAGGACTATGCTCCTACTAATTTTCCAGAAGATTGGCAAGCTTTTTCTGAGGTATTTCAACTTTACAACCTTTGTTAACAGCCAAGTACTTCAACTGCTTGAACTACCCAGGGATTCCAGCTTAATAATGTGGTTGTTGTTAAGTGCCGTCGAGTCAGTTCCAACACAGCGACACTGCATAGTGTTTCCAAGGAGAAGCTGGTGAGTTTGAATCTCTGACCCTGTGGTTCAAATTGACCTTGCAGTCCAGTGCAAAACACCAGGACTCAAGCTTAATAAGAGGAGGTCTAATAAATAAACTGAAAATTCAAAATAAATACAATGTGTTTTAGCAGAAAATATTCACCCTACAGTTTGGTGAATACGAATAGCAGTTAAAATTTCCAAATTAACTATGCATACATATAACTTGTATTCGACCATTGTTGTTGTTTTGTGCAGTACAGTTGGTTCTGACAAACAGTGACTCTGTATAGGGTTTTGGAGAGTTGGTGGGTTTCAACTGCTGATCTCGTGGTCTGCACACGCCTACCCTGCAGCGCCACATCAGAGTCTGTATTCAATGTTATAGGGGTATAATTAAGCAGACAGGGAAAAACAGGTGTTTTAGTGAGGTCTGAATTTATAATTTGCTCTATAATTTGTCTCTTCAATACTTCACTGCCATTTTGCAGTGCATCTTCAAAATGCTCTTACAAGTGATGTCCAGTCTTCATGTTTTTACTTGCTCAGCTAAGCCATATTCTCCAACAACTGATATGGTAAAGATTTTCTTTAATTTGGCTTACAGAGAGCCTTTATATCCAAGTACATTCAAAGGTTGATAATATCTAAAGACTTTGGTGATAGAATATTTGTTGATTAATGGTTGAAATTTCAATTTTTGGAATTGTTTTTATATCATGGGCTATAATTTTTCTTTGAATGAGCTGTCTACCTTAACATATTCCACCAAGGTCATCTCTGTGTGCTGTTGGTTATCAGCTATCAAGAGCTATGTATTGTTTCATTACATTTATTGATTCATTAAATATTTATAACACTGTCTACTGTATGCCAGGTGCTATCACATGTTGGAGTTCCAAAGTTGAATGGTGTATAGACCCTTCCTTGAATAAGTTTATACTCTAGTGGGGGATACAAACAATGAAATAAAAATATAATTACATTATCATGATTAAATGCTACTCTGAGAGATGCAAGTAAAAAATAAAGTCATATTCCATAACATATAAAACTAAGCTATAAAGAGAGCTAGTAGAATTAAATATATTCAATATGACAAAGGATAAGACATTTGTATAAAATGAAATATAGCAACATAATTATGGGAAAATATTCAAGTTATTATTTTTCCAAGGAAGAATCAAACAATGAGATACAATTTCTTTGACTACTGAATTAGTAGTTTTAACAAGTAAGAATAAGTAATTACAGCTAGAACTTGCCACAGATAGCAGTATATTTATCTGGTGGTACTGGCTGTGTACACTGGAACTGGTCCCAACTCAAAGCAACTCTGTATTGTGTTTCTGAGGCTGTAAATCTTTAAAGAAGCAGAAAGCTTTGTCTTACTCCCAGAGTGGCCGGTAGTTTTCAAAAGCTAAACTTGCAGGTAGCAGCCCAACTAGTAACCTAGTATGCTACCAGGACTCCTTACATCTATATGAATGGGCCTCAAAAAATTCATAGAAATTTTCCATAATATTTTAATTCCATGTTTCCACAAAATTTTTTAAGCCCCCTTGTGATTTCTAGCAACAAAAACCCTCTTGGAAAATAATTTTGATATTAAGAGCAAAAGACACATTTTTTACCTTGGTTTTGAATTTTACTCCTGGAAATTTGGAAAAATGTCAAATTATTTCCTAGAAAATATTCTTTGAAAAGTCAAAAATAGGAGAATAATTGACCTCTGGTAGTGTAGTGGTTATGAGTTGGGCTGCTAACCTCAAAGTCAGCAGTTTGAAACTACCAGCCATTCCGCTGGATAGATGAGGCATTTTGCTCCTGTAAAAATTAGCCTCAGAAACCCTATGCAGGGTTGCAGTGAGTTGGAAGCAACTCCACGAAACACCACCACTATTATGTAATATATGCACTCTATAAATATTAAAAATGATAATTTCTCCTTTTCCTTGTCTGTATTTTCTAATTTCTCTGCAATCCTCATATAAATTTATAACTATGAAAGCCATCTTGTTGTTGTTAGGCACTGACAACTGAGTTGATCCCAACTCAGTGATCCTATGAAGCACAGAATGAAACACTGCTTATGCCTGTGCCATCCTCACAATTGTTGTTATGCTGTATTTAAGTCAATTGCTGCTGCCAGGGTATCAATCCATCTTATTGAGGATGTCTTTCTCTTTTTCACTGACCTTCCACTTTACCAACCATGATGCCCTTCTCCACGGACTGGACCCTCCTGATAACATGTCTAAAATATGAGAGATGAGATCTCACCATTTTTAGTTTTTTTTTCTTCTTAAATGTTTTATTGTGAATTATGTGATTGTTTACATGGGGCAACATTAGTTTTACATTCATTCTATCATATATCGTCTCATTGCCATGGTTACAATCCCCTCCAGGCAATCCTTCATTTTGAGTTTTAAAGAGTATTCTGGATGTACTTTTTCCAACAAATTTGTTCTTCTGGCAGTGCATAGTCATTTTAATATTATTCTTTAATACCATAATTTGAATGCATCGATTCTTCTACAGTCTTCCTTATTCATTTCCTAATTTCCACATCTCTGAAGCAACTGAAAATAAATACCATGGCTTTGGTTAGGCACAGCTTAGTCTTCAAACTGATTATCTTTGCTCTTTAACACTTTAAAGAGGTTTTATGTGAAAGATCTACCTAATGCAATACATCATTTGATTTCTTGACTGCTGCTTCCATGAGTGGTGATTGTGGGTTCAAGCAAAAATAAAGTCTTTGGCAACTTCAACTTTTTCTACATTTATTATGATGCTATTTATTGGTGAAATTGTGAGGTTTTTTTGTTTAAACACTGAGGTACAATCTATACTGAAGCCTGTAGTCTTTGGTCTCCATGAGTAAGCCTTATAAACCCTCTTCCCTTCCAGAGGGGAAGGTTGTATCATTTGATATTGCAGGTTGTTAACGAGTCACCTTCCAATCCTGATGCCACATTCTTCTTCATATAATCCAGTTTTCAGATTATTTGTTCAGCATACAGACTGAACAAATATGGTGAAAGGATACAAACCAGATGTGCACCTTTCCTGATTTTAAACCATTCAATATCCCCTTGTTCTGTTCAAACAACTGCCTCTTGGTCTATGTACAGGGTCCTCATATGTACAATTAAATGTATTGGAATACCTATTCTTTGCAATATTCTCCATAGGCAAAAGCCTTTGCATAGTCAACACAGCACAAGTAAACATAATTCTGGAATTCTCTGCTTTCAGCCAAGATTCATCTGATGTCAGCAATGATATTCCTAGTTCCACATCTTCTTCGAAATCTGCCTTGAACTTTTTTTTTTTCCTCATTAAACTTTGTTTTAATGGGTCTCAAAATTCTGTGGCAAATTTTTGGTCAAGTTGTTTCCATTTAAAAAGTACTGATTTTAAAAACTACTTAAAACTGCCACACACAAAAAAGAAACAAATGGTCTACATAACATTCCTTTCCTTCTGAAGGTTTTACGATGCATTATCATTAACCAGTCTTTTACTATTAAACTTAAATGGCCAATTGAGACAAACAGTTCGAGACCGTTCTTCCACCACTGATTAAGACTGGAGTGGCAGGTGTTAAAGGTAATATTCATTTAGCCTTCTTAGCTTTCTGAGCAGACTTGGTGACTTTGCCAGCTCCAGCAGCCTTTTTGTCCACTGCCTTGATGATACCACATTCCAACAGTCTGTCTCACGTCACGAACAGCAAGATGACCCAAAGGAGGGTAGTCTGAGAAGCTTTCAACACACATAGGCTTGACAGGAACCATGTCAACAATGGCAGCATCACCAGACTTCAAGTATTTGGGGCCATCTTCTAGCTTCTTACCAGACCAGCGATCAATCTTCTCCTTGAGCTCAGCAAACTTGCAAGCAATGTGAGCTGGGTGACAAACATGCACAGGTGCATGTCCAGCACTGATTTGGCCTGGATGGTTCAGGATGATCACCTGTGCAGTGAAGCCAGCTGCTTCCATTGGTGGATCAT